AGGGAATTCTTGGGATTCACAAAGGAACCTCTGCTTTTATACTTAAGAAATATATTTTAAATATTACTGGAGCAGTATTGGTATCCGAAAACTGATTTTGTAGTGTATTCTGAAAAATGGGCAGACAAAGATGCCTGTAGAGAATCTTAGAATTCCATGAGATTGAGTACCATTTGCCCATCAATAAAGTTCTTGGCACTGCAACTAGTGGAAGATCACTGAGATCAGTAAATATACAGAACATACTGAGAACTGAAAAGGACTAAATGTCTTAAATTTATTCATTAAATTTTACTAATTTAGAAATTTTTCTAGTAGAATTCATTTTACTTAATTTGATGGAACAAAAATAATTTGAATATTCAAGTTTGTGATCACCAATACCAAAACTAGTCCTGATTTTTGTTTTTGATTAGAGATTTAATATGTGACATCTACATTTGGCTAAGGCTGTTATTTTTGTTAGACACAGGTTTTAGACCTGTGATGAAAGCATCAGATTTTCTTACAATAGTCTCATTCTGGGCTGTAACAAATAGCTACTTACTTGCCCTAGCTACATACTTAACATACTGAGGCAGTTGCGCCAACTGTATTCTTCACACCAATGAAAATATGATCTTGGCAAGTGACCTTGTGAGGAAACTATTCTCAAGAAGGCAAAATAGCTACTACCTCAGGAAGAATGACTTCTCTTACCAGTAAGTAATGATGCAGATTTGAATTGCAATTCTCTTCATGAAGTACACATCACACACGCTACTCATTGCCCTTATATCACTATAGTTTAAAAATTGTAACATCATTTTTTCCCAGAACTATAAAATCAAACACAACACCAGCTACAGAGAGAAAGCTCCTAAATATTTTCTTTCCGTCTTGCTTCTTTCTGGCAACTATCTGACAGAAAACGTATGGAGACAAAAGAAAGAAGAAATCAAAGGAAAAGGAGGAGGAGGGTGCCCTTGAGAGGGGGAGAGTGATGAGAGGGAGCAGAAAAAATAACTAGAGAGCCAAATTGGTTAGTACTGAGAGAGAGTATGGTCAGACACAGAGCAAGGCAGCACGGGGGACTGAAAACCGTCTGAGTTGTAAGACAATAGTACATTTTCATCAACCCTCCTCTGAGCCCAGGTGGCATTGTTACCCAGCAAGAGCTTAGCGACCCTCACATGTAAACACAAATACTTTGGCATTAACATTTGAAAAAAAGAAAAGAGCTTTATTTTGAGGTCCACCAGCAAGGAGATAGGGCTCAAAGCTGCGTTTCTGCTCCAGACTCCAGGATAGTATTTAGGGGTTAGGGGAATTTCAAACTTGGAAGCTGATTGGCTAGTCTCAAATCAGTACATATAAGTCACTCATGCTGCTGGAAGCCACATTTTCCTTATTGAAGGAATTCTTAATCCCTAAAGGATGTGCTGCAGACCACGGGGTCGCAAAGACTAGGAAACGACTGAGCAGCTGAACTGACCTGACCTGAAAGGGATCTGATGGCAATGCTTCTATTTTGAGTTTGTAGACTGATGAAAATCCCTGGTTCTGGCGTTATCCTGGAGATATGAGTTCCCATCCAGTATATGCCCAGAGCTGTCTATGTAAAATAACTCAAGGTTTGACTAATCAACTATTTAAGGAGGCAACACCAATTTAAGATGGTCAGTGTTTCACGCATTGTTTCAAAGGGAAAAACCCACAGAGAAAGCCTGCAACCTATCTACTTGTTCCAGCAGCCATTTAGAAAACCATGACTTTGTCTTGAAAAAAAACTTGACCCTGTCCTTTGAACTTTGTGGAGTTTTATTTTCTGAGTCATGTATGGATGGCAGAGTTGGAGTGTAAAGAAAGAGAGCACCAAAGAACTGATGCTTTTGAACTGTGGTGTTGGAGACAACTCTTAAGAGTCCCTTGGACTGCAAGGAGATCCAACCAGTCATCCTAAAGAAAATCAGTCCTGAATATTCATTGGAAGGACTGATGCTGAAGCTGAAACTCCAATACTTCGGCCACCTGATGTGAAAGAACTGACTCATTGGAAAAGACCCTGATGCTGGGAAAGACTGAAGGCAGGAGGAGAAGGGGATGACAGAGGATGAGATAGTCGGATGGCATCACTGACTCAATGGACCTGCATTTGAGTAGACTCCAGGATTTGGTGATGGACAGGGAGTCCTGGTGTGCTGCAGTTCATGGGGTCACAAAGAGTCGGGACATGACTGAGCAACTGAACTGAACTGAAATGATTTTCTGAGTAATATAACACCAGCTTCACAAATTAGGAAGTAAAGGGAAAAGGAATTATTTTCTCATTCCGAAAATTCTGTATGATAGTGTTCTCATATTCTTCCTTTTTGTTCTTAAAACTTGGCAATGGGTCTAACAAGAGAAAAAGTTAGCATTCCTACAAATTTTCTTTTAGTGGCATTCTAAGATTCAGTTCAGTCGGTCAGTCGTGTCCGACTCTTTGCGACCCCATGGATCACAGCAAGCCAGGCCTCCCTGTCCATTCTAAGATTATCTCCTAGTATAAAACGATTGTCACTTCGTTTATTCAGCATATTCTTTGAAGTCCCATGAGGCAGGTCTGCACTTTAAAACAAAAGGCATGAATGGGTAAATTGGTCACACTTTCAACAAATTAAGCTTATGTTCTGGTAATACCAAGAACTGCCAAGTTTCTACATGGCATTGCTGCTGCTAAGTGTAGGAAGTTAGCAAATATATTTAAAATTTTTAATATGTTTTCTGAGCTGTAAAAGCAAAGAAAATGCTACAGAATTTTTTTTAATTAGAGTAGTGGCTTTAAAATGTATCTGCATTTAATTCAGATTGCTCTTACTATAAAGTATGTTCTGTATAAATATTAATCATAAAATAATTTATCATAATATGCCTTTTTCTCTCTCCCCAAATTTCTTTCTTCTTAAAAGATAAAAGGAAATAAATTTCCAATAAAATTTCATTGACTTCAGCCTGCATCTCTTTTAGAAAAAGAGAATTTGATTAACAAATATATAACTAAATAATCATAGAGGTAGAGTTTGGGAGAGGAAGTTCTTTGTAAAATCTCAGACAGATATCAGAGGCATGTAATTCTGATTTTCCCTTCTTAAATATTTTATAACATCATCCAGATTAAAGTGAGAATTTTTTTCAGAATAAATGGAAAGACATTCTGAAAAGTATTTTCCAACTCTTTCCTATTTTATTTTGCCCCATATTTTGTAAAGTCCAAGAATACTCTAAAACACTTTCTAGGAAATACTATATTTTCAGTGAAATTTATTTTCATTGTATATAGATCTGAAAGGAAAGTAGTAATTACCCTGAAAGTTAAAGTGTTAGTCACTCAGTTGTGTCTGACCTTTTGCAACCCCATGGACTGTGGCCTGCCAGGCTGCTCTGTCCATGGAATTCCCCAGGCCAGAATACTGGAGTGGGTAGCCATTCCCTTCTTCAGGGGCTCTTCGTAACCAACGGATGGAACCTGGATTTCCCACATTGCGAGCAGATTCTTTTCTGTCTGTGATAGCCAGGAAGCCCATATAGACCTGAGGAAGGCCTAATTATATTTTCTTTTTGAAAATGTTACTATTAATAATCTGTTCAACAGGATTCTATAGTTATCTAAACCAAATAAATTGCCATCTGAGTATTATATTTAAAAGAAATTATTTAACATCATTATTTACAAATTGCAATTAATTAATTAATTAATTAAGCTAGATTTTACTTACGTGAAATATTTGTCTTGTGCAAAAAAACACTTTACTTATTTAGGTGAAATGTTTGTCTTGTGCAAATAAATGTATGGAATGAATTACCAAAAAAAGGTCTGTACCTAGCCACCTTTATAATCAAGTAAAAAAAAATACAACTAAATAAAACAATTTGATTTGTAATAGATGAAGCAACCCTTGGGTTTAATTAGCCATTATACAAAAAAAGTCCCAGTAAAAAAAATTTCTTCCTAAGTATCAGAAGCCCTTTGAATGTACAGAGCTCACATTATTGAAAATCTGTATGTTTCAATTGATGAAGATTAAGCATGATGAATGCTTGATTATCTCAGATGAAATCACATGTGCTGACAGAACATCTGTTACAACCTCCCCTCTTGTTATTTTATTGCAAATTTACAATCTATTGCAACTAAAATAGCGTGATTAAAACTACAGACATTTTGAATAAAAGGTAATTTATAGACCTCTCTAAATAATCAAACCTATTTTGCAAGCGGCTGAGATTTTAAAACAGAAAAAGATTTCTGAAACTCTATACATGTTGCTTTTCATTCAAAGAAACACTCATATTTGGTATCTTCATTCAGTCATAACTACTATTAAAAAATCCAAGAATCAAAAATGTTTACAGTATCCACAAGGACTAACCCAGTGGCCACGTATAGTAGATATTTATTTAGTATTTGTTTACTGAACACTTAACTTGAAAATAAATATCTGAGTCAAATGTCCATACACACAAGTTTTAGGTGTGTACAAATGTTTCACACTGCCTAAGAAAGTAGCTAAAATTATTTCATACAGAATGATGCCATATTACACGATTTATAAATGCAAGAGTGTGAAATAGTATAATTTTTAATGTTTATGAAAACAATCTCCCTCATATAACTGATGTTCCCCATAATTTGCCTATGTAACAATTAAATCTATGAAACTATGTTAACTCTGAATAAAAGGCTATAAAAATCATTTGTAAACTACAGCTTGGTGGTGATTTAGTCTCTAAGTCGAGTCTGACTCTTGCCACCCCATGGACTGTAACCTGCCAGGCTCCTCTGTCCATGGGATTCTCCTGGCAAGAATACCGGAGTGGGTTGCCATTTCTTCTCCAGGGGATTGTCCCAACCCAGGAATCAAACCTGTGTCTTCTGTGGCTCTTGCCTTGCAGGCGAATTCTTTACCACTGAGCCACTAGGGAAGCCTTGACTATTTGCATATTGCTAACTAAAATTTCTAACCTTATTATTTATTTACCTTAAATCAAATTTTCTGACCAAAATGAAGTGCAGATTTAGGTCCCAAAATGGTCAGAGGTCACTCAATCCCAGAGGTCACACCTACTTCATTGGAGAGGCTGTCTTTTAGGGGGGCCAGTTTTATAGGCAGAAATTACTGAGTTCAAACTCAGTCATGAGCATTGGACTCTTTTCTGCTTCATTTTCTTTATCTGCAAATAGACATAAAAATAGATCCCACGTATTATTAAGATTTTTATAGAGATTAATTATGACAATGCTTGTAAAACATTAAATACGGTGGCTGTGTGTCTGTGTACTCAGTCCTGTCTGATTCTTTGCACCCCTCTGGGCTGTAGTCTGCCAGACTCCTTTGTCCATGGAATTTTCCAGGTAAAAGTACTGGAGTGGCTTGCCATTTCTTACTCCAAGTGATCTTCCTGGCCCCAGCATCAAACCCACATCTCTTATGTCTCCTGTATTGGCAGGCAGATTTTCTACCACTGTGCCACCTTGGAAGCCATGATTAGCACCTAGGAAATACTAAGTGATGGGCTAGCACTGTGATGCTGGAAAGATCATGAAGGGTAAAGGGGAACACCCAGAGAAGAAGAGGAGACAAATGGCAGCTCTCAACCACTGCTTATTTGTTGTATTCAAGTTTTAACAAAGAAAATGAAAAGCAGTAAATAGAATGAGAGTAAGCTTATGAAACTGGATAGGACAAAAGATGCCCTTTTGCCAGAATAAACTTGTATACTCATCTTGTGACAGACTAAAAATCTGAAAGGAAAAATAAGTACAAAGCAAGCCTTACACACTGGATTGAATACTTCTGAAATGAAATGTATTTTTAGCCTGAGGTAATACATCAGTGTTTGGGGAAAACAGAAAATGAGGGCATGTAAAGAAAAAAATGTAACAAAATTATTTGCTGAATTTCAAATTCTGTATTAATTTGTCACCTTTATTTATGTCACAGAGACACAAACCTTGCAAGGGTGTACAAAAATGTTTAACTATAAAAGGATATGAAAAAATGCCAAAATGAAAAAGAATTTCTCACATAAGTAAATTTTTAAAAATTAAGATATAGTTGCCATATAATATTATGTTAGTTTCAAGTGTATAAATAGTTAAATACAGTTTTAGGCTGGATAATTGGCTTTTTAAAATCAGTTTTACTGTAGTAGTATTCCAACCTTCTTTAGATTATATTAACCATAGTGTCAAAATGACAAATCACATATAACATATAGAAATTAAAGCTATTGAACTTTATGAACTGTTCTAATGCATCAAAATTGCATGAACCTTAAGAAAATCATTTTATATAGCTCAGATTTGTTTAGTTCAGTAGTGGTAAAATGCTTCACTAAAATTTCTTGACTTATCTAAAGTAAGAATTTTTAAATGTTGGATTAAAAATATTTCCCCCTGTTCTAGCACATTAGAAAAAATCCTAAAGTAAAAGCAGAGCAGAGCAATTAAATAAAGGGTTTTATGATGGAACTGTAATGCATAGTGGTTATCAGTAAGATTTCTTGGCTCAAAATCTGGCTCTGCCATTTGCTGTGTGACCTTAGGTTAGTTACTTAACCTCTCTGAGGCTCAGTTTCCTCTTCTGTAAAGCATAGTAATACTATTTACCTCATAAGATTGGTTCAGGTATTAAATTAATAGACCTATAGCATTGAGAATACTAATTAGCACATAAGTGGTATTCTTGAAATATTCACTATGGTGTCTGGAATTTCACTTAAAGGTAAAATAATTGAAATAATCTCAAAGTTTAAAAATGATAAAAACTTCTTTGGCATCAGTACCATGTTGCCCAGAGATGTACACTTCAATTCATTATCTAGCATTTATTTATTTCTAATCTCAAAGAGATTTCACTTTAAACAAAGATTATGAGATTCTCAGAAAATCTCACTTGAAATATTTTATGGTTATTATTATAACCTATAATATTTTATAATAACCTCACTTGAAATACTTCTCACAGGAAATATTTTATTGAAAATATCTTGAGTAAGTTAATGTAGAACATAAACATTCAAATAGTGCTAAAATGATTTCTTCTTATGTCTGTTGCCCTCCTGAATCTTTTCAAATATCTAGTCTATGGTACAGGTAAATCACAGATTTCAGACTTTGTCCACATGGATTCCTGCATGCTTGATTTAGTGATGATTTACTCAAACAGAAGTTCAGAAAATAGCCGTTTATTATTATACAGAGTGATTAAATCCATTTGTGATGCTGTGATGTAAAAGAAATATATTTGGCCTTTGTCCACAGTTTCTGGCATAAGGCTTCTAAAACCCTCACAATTTTTTGAATGATAAGGCTGAGCAGATTGTTTTTTGTAATTCATAATAAGTTCCTTTCAACTATCTCCAAGTATATATGCTAATTACATGACTAGTTACTGAAACCCCTAGATAGCTTTCCAGAGAAAACCGCCACATACTGGAGGGCTGAAACTTACAATCTTAGCCAGTGGACCTACAGGTAAGGGAAAGGGACTGGTTAATCACTGTCAACCAATGATTTGATCAATCATGCCTAGATAACAGAACTTCCATAAAAACCTTAAACAAAGGGATTTGGAGAACTTCTGGGTTGGTGAATGCATATGAGTGCCAGGAGGATGATGTACCCCAAACTTCATGGAAACAGAAGCTCCTACAACTTGGAATGCTTCCAGATTTCATCCTATGTACCTCTTCATCTGGCTATTCATTTGTGTCCTTTATAATAAACTGATAATATTAAGTAGAATTTTTTTCTGAACTCTGTGAGCCATTATAGCAAATTATTAAAACTGAGAAGATACTTGTAGAAACCCCAATTTGTGGCCAAGCCAGAGAAGAGTATGGGTGACCCACTACTTGTGATTGGTATTTAAAGGTGGAGGACAGTCTTGTGAGACTGATCCCTTAACCTGCGGGTCGACTTTAATTCTGGGTAGATAACTGGCATAATCAGTGTAGGCACCTAGCTGAGAAATGCAGAATTGTTTGGTCTGGAAAATCCACACTTTTGGTGTCAAAAGTTTTCCACATATTAATAGATAAAAAACAAATCATAGTGGTAGATCACTTAAAAGAGCAAAGGAGCGTTGATGAAAAAATATGCATGTTAAAACAATGGAACACCATAGATAGTGAAGGCAATTAGGTAAAGTCAGATGATAACAGAACTAGCTTGAGACTGACTCAGTTGTCTAGTTAAGTGACTCAGATCAGTGATTTGGCAAAGAGAGAAAAAAGCAGTAAGGTGAAGATACAGTTGTTTTATTTTTGTCATATACATATACATACACATATGAAAAGCTGAAATTCTGAAAAAAAAACAGAAAAAATAATTTTGTACTCTGGATTCCTCACCTATTTCAAAATGCACATGTACTATTAACCACGAGGAAAGCAGTCATTCTGTTTTTGGCAGGGATACCTGGCTACTTAAAATGAGAACACAGAGGAAGATATAATAGAAAATTATTTTCTGAAATTCAGAATTCCACTTCTCTTTATGCTTATTGCTGTGACTTGCTAGGTATAGCAATATGGCTCTCAGGACAGGAATGCATTCCCTTCCTCCTAGATCTGGTTCTCCTTAAACTAAACCTAATTTCTGAACTTAGGATCCTATACAAGGTGCACAACCCCCTGGGAAATGTAATTCAGTCACTGCTTCAATCCCCATGCCTCATCTTCTGCTCTGTTATGCCTGCTTCTCTTTTGGTGAGCAGCTGCCTAAACAGAGTCCTTACTAAATCACTGGGAATAAAAATGTCTTCAGTTAATATTGTCTAGTTATTTGATTTGTCATGAGTTAAGAGACAACAAAAAGAAGATACACAATAAGAGGGTGTCAAGATTTTTTAAATTATTCCAAAAAATCCATTTGTGTATTATAATAAGTGATCATAGCTCTTAAGCCATACAATGGACTGCAGTTAATTCTCTGAAAAAGAAAAATAATGCCTCAGCATATAATTGCTTTTATATTGAGAAGAACATAATTGCTCCACATAAAAAAAAATCACTAAAAGGAGTTTTCTTGTTGAGTTTTAAATTTTTAAATTAACTTTACAAATTAAAACTCCTCAAGATATTGAAAAACTGAAGGAGGAGAAGATGATAACTGTCCCATTATATACCACAGTCTTTGATCTTCCAGAAACCCTGATGCTCTCAAACATAAGCTTTTTACTTGTCTGCAGGTTTCTTTTTTCTGGGAGGAAACAAATTAGTAATTATAAATATATGCACAAGTTACAATTAATAGTAGAAATTGAAAGAGATGAGTATTTCATGGAAGGTGGTCTGGGGATTTTCCTGCCTCTTAATACTTTACTGGCCAGGAGGTTAGTCACATAATGAGAAGCCCATTCTATTTTAAGGCACATATATTGTTCCCAATACTAAGGTAAAATGTATTTTATTTTCACATTAGTTTAGTTCTTCCATGTAAAATCATATAGAAAATAATTTCTACATTCTGGCTATAACTTGTCAATGCCTCTTTCAGAATGTCATACCCAGAAGGGAATGCTGTGCTCCAGACACCAACACAAATACCATGGGGAAGGATGTTCAGAAGCTTTGCCTAACAGGACTTATCAGCAGTGGCAGATTTATGACATTGAGATTGCCAATGCCCACCCCTCAATACTTCCAGTTTCCCTGGAAGTGTCACTCAAGGATCACTTGGCAGGACTGTAGGCATCTTTCTCCACTATTGGAGCAGCTGAGACCTAAAATGAGTCGCAAGTCATTTCACATTAAGCTATTCTGTAAATGAAAATGGAGCCCTGAGCTTAATTATTCAAAACTTAGCAACTATAATAAAACTCTATTAATGCTGTGGTTATACACACAATTAATATAAAATGCATTGTTATGGACTGAACTGTGTCTCGCTCAAAATTCATATATTGAAATTGTGATCCTCAGGATCTCAAAATGTAATTGTATTTGGAGACAAGGACTTTAAGAAGTAATAAAGTTAAAATGAGGTTTTTAGGGTGGGTCTTAACCACTGATTTCCCTGGTGGCTCAGAAGATAAATAATTTGCATGAAATACAGGAGACCTGGGTTTGATTCTTGGGTCAGGAAAACTCCCTGGAAAAGGGAATGGCTACCCACTCCAGTCTTCTTGCCTGGAAAACTCCATGGACAAAGGAACCTGGTGGGCTAC